ACCATTGAAAGCAGGCTCAGTGGTCTAGTTGGTTAAGCGCCTGACGCGTGACTAATGGGTCCTGGGTCCGAATGTTGCAAGAGGCGGGATCGTGGATGCGCACTGGTGAGAAGTCCCATACTAGGACGAAACGACTATCCAGCTCTTCCAGTTTTGCCATGGTGGTCCAGCTTCAATTGACTCATGATTTCAACCAGTGAAAGTTCATTAAATCTTACTATTATACAATAGACAACCAATATTTACTAAAGTGATCAGCTAGATGTAAAGACAAATATTACATACATATACATGAATATCATTATAGGGTTTTAGAGAATGTTAAGTTTCTCATTGACATTATGAACTGATCATTGTTAGACCAACATTGAAAACATGGAAGTCTCCAAATGCCCTGGTATGGTAGAGGGTGGGTAGAATCAGCTTTTCCTCTCTCTCTCTCCCCATGCTCTTACATGGCAATGCGTATACAACCACTACCAGGGAAGTCATACTTATTGTCTTCTTGCGGCATTACTGTTGTTTATGAAATTAAAAGGATGAAAATAGAATGGCCGACGATTTAACCGGGTTGGTGGATACGGAGGATCCACGTAGGAGACTTGGAAAACCCTGATTTCAATCCACTGGTGTACATGGGATCCAGGAACCTAAGAAAACAAATGGTGGAATGGGATTGCATCTCCTAACATTGCTACACTGCCTTGTCGATCAGATCTTTAGGCCAAAGGCTCAAGGTGTGGCCCCCCACCCCTACGAAAACCATTTGCTTCGGTTTGGGCACCCAAGTAGTACCACAGCCCACACACAAATCAAGTAACTTGTGTGGCGCATATGCATTCGGTGCCCCTTTGTACTAGTATTTATGTATTCAAATAAATAGACAAAATTAATTATTAGTATGTGCTCACTGGCTTTGAGAGGAAATATCCGCAATTCTAATGAGAAGCCGTGACAAGTAGAACTAATCTGTGTCAAGCATGAGACGGTTACATAACGAACGCAATGAAACAGGGTCACACAATATCGTGGGCTGATTGAAGTTAGATATTGACACTGCTGGATACTGGCTCAAGTGTCCACACGTTAAGTGTTCACTCGAGACTGAAGGTCTTGGTTTCGATTCCTGCGAATGGGAACTTCTGTTGAGTTTGATACTAGAATGAAATTGTTATACAGTGCTTCTAGTTTTTTAATTGTAATCTAACATTGATCGGTTCATGAGCTCAATATATATAAAAACGTGTAGGTGAGTAGACATGCTTATATGTGAGCCTGGTAAACTCACTATGTATGCACATCGTAGGTTACTTAATACAAGACACATTTTAAAGGAATTTATTATTCTACCCTGAGTACAATTAAATGTCAGATTGTGTGACTAAACTACCTAAATCAAATTAGTCAGATTTCTATGTTGACACTTGATCGTTGGTGACGATTGAAAACACATTTTAAACCTAACTTCAATAATAAGTGAAACTTGTCAATTCTGTGGAAACTGATGCTTCATATACGATTTGAAAGTAAATAAGTCAGTGACTCTGATGAGAAGACAAAGGGAGAACTAGTAACTTTTTGTAGCACTAAGATGTCTACACTGATTTGTCACTCAATAGTAAACCATAATGAACTGTTTGAGCATCTGGGCTACCTGTCCCTGTCATCTAAATATTTCAACAAGTTATCTATTTTTGTTTGTTTTAATATATCATTATGTATATTAATCGCATAACCCATCCTAGTGCATTTCTGAAAAGTTTACAACCTTTCGTTCTCAAAGTTACAAAAAGCTCAATAAGAGATAATGTGGTCGCTGGCAATATGCAGAGAAAAGAATATACATTATTCAGATGTTTATTTATTGGACTGTTAACATCTAACTGGCTATCACTCAATATTTATCGTCAGGATCGACCAAGAAGAAAGAAACGGAAACTTGTTGAAATACTTTGTGCTGAGAATTCTATATTGTACTGAAAATATAATATTGAATAAAGCTTATAAAAATAATAATAATAATAATAATAATAATAATAATAATAATAATAATAATAATAATAATACTTTTAAGTGTTAAAAGAACACTTTCCGTTGTAATCACAATTGATTGATCACTGGGTGGCGATCAATGTCATACGTGTCTAGTCCTTATTAGTGCAGATCGAATGCTATCGATCATGTTGCAAAGTGACCATCAGTCTAGGTGACTCGACACTGCGTGCACTATACATTGAGATTAGATGGTGGTTGGAGGTAGTCGACAGGAAACCCTGGATCCGGGTTTTATGCTACTTGGCACTCGTCATCAATGTGTACCTGTAATCTTGAGGGAACTGGTGCTCCCTGACGGATTCGATCTCGTGACACCCAGCTTCATAGTCAGAGACGTTACCACTGAGCTATCCGGGCCGGGACTTATCAGTCTCGCATACCAACGATTAACTTCTAGACTACAGAGCTGGTTGGTTGGCATCCAATATTATTCATGATATCTAACTTCAACTAATTCACAAAATTGAGCAACACATCTACCATTACCTTCAATAAGTATTAGTATCTCATAACAGACCTAGTTGAACTCCACTGGTTACAGCTTCCACCTTGATACTAGACACATAATGATGATTATTCTTAGAAAAAAGAGAGGGGGCTTCCGTGGAACGTTTAATCATCTTTTTTTTACTTGAATTCATGAGTCACTGAAATTATTCTTATTATAATTCCACACAATAAATTGTCATTAACGCGTGCAAAGAAAAAAGAGAAGAGATTGTTACATTCTTTATTGTCATGATTCATTTTCATCATGATAGTCTTGGTCGAATTCATAGAATTTTTTTGTTATAGAATGATACTTACTATTAATGACAATGATGAATGTTAGAATTGTGAAGAAAAATATAACAAAATAATGAATTGAACTATTCTTCTTCTTCTTCTTCTGCTAATGCTTCTATTATTTAGTTCGTTTATCTATTTTACTTCTCCAACCCTTCTCAACTAAATTAAATGTATAAATGAACTACACAGTAACAAACAAACAAACACACATACACACCACAGAGAGAGAGGGGGAACTAAAACGCGCACGGGGGGGGGAGGAATAATGAATAGAGATGTACAATACCGGATTCGTAATAAATTTACAATGTATCAATTCTATTCGTTATCTTTACAAAAGAAGAATAAATAAATAAATAAATAAATAAACAAAAATTTGTATACACCAGCTGATCAACATTAATTTTTTTTTCTATTTCAGAAAAGAAAAAAAATTATTTTTTTGTCAATTCTATTTGCATAATTTTCTTTTTCATTAGTCTATAGTTCAGTACACATTGGAATTCTATGTATAAATGAATCCTTGTATAGTTTTGTAAATGGGAAAGAGGCACATTGATACTACTACTACTACTACTACTACTACGACGACGACGACCACACATACTACTCACACTAACCCTCTTCCTCCTACGACTACTACTACTACTGCCGGCAACAACAATAATAATAATGATAATAATAATACTGTGCTGTGTGTGCTACTGATATCGATAGATTTAACTAGCATATACCACCAATCGAAAGTGCAATGTATGAAGACAGAAGGTTGACGAAATCAAGGAGAAAAAAAACAACAACTGTGAGTGATTGGTATTGAAACGAAGGAATAATCAGGTATGAGACACTTGATTGGGTATTTGCAAGTGAATTATTTATTGTATGATTCTCTAATTTTACTATGAAATGCTGTCATTTTGTGGCTAAAAACATTTAATTGTCCTTACTTGTGTTATTGTTTGCTACACTACGACTATTACTTTGATGTATGCTACTTATATTTACAGATATAAGTAGTATATAACACCAGTCGGGACTGAAATGTCGCTGGATAGAAGGTTGAGAAGATTGTACTGAAGAGAGGAAAAAAAACGAAACAGATAGCAATCAACATCACACTGGGAATGAAGAGATAGTGAAGAGTTTATGAGACATTTGACATTATACTAAAGCAATTTAGTGAGTTGTCGTTCACTGTACAACTACTTCTGTTATCGCTATTGAATAATACATACCTTATCATATATTCAAGGCAAATAGTGTCAAGTTATTCATTTTGTTAGTTTATATATGTACATATTGATGGTAAATTCCCTCCCCCCCACATCGACTGACAAACTGTAAATGTAAACAAACTGTTTTCATTTCATTTCATTTTTTTTACTTTTAATTAATGGACTTAACTTTCAATTAAGCGACATTATCCATTAGAATCAAATGATGATATAAAATGTTCTACATTCCAGAAAGTCAATTATGTAGACTGGGTCAAAATGTTACTTTGCTACTACTACTAATGGTGCTGCTGCTGCTGCTGGTGATAATGATGGTGATGATGCTTATGAGGATAATTAGTTTATTTATTTATTCATTTACAACATGATAAAAGAAAAAAAAACTGGTATCATTAGTGTATTATCATGATTCTAATCATCTGCATCACCATCTGTATCACCACTACCATCATCATTCTCATCACCATTCATTTATAATACACAATTGTATATTATTGAATAGAACAAAATGGAATTCATCTGTTATCTCATTACTGTTCTTATATTTTGTATATATGAGGGGTATACAATTGTTGTTGTTGTTGTGTTTGTTTTTCTATTAAAAAAAACACAAACTGTTACATGATCATTTGTTCATACTCTGTACATGTTTCCATTTAAAAAAAAAACAAAAAAAAATAAAGAAAAGAAAATTCTTTCATCATCATCAGCATCATCATCACCATGTATTCACCTAATCCGATGAACTTAACTTAGATTACACAGTTGTTACACTGATCATTATACTACATGTGTTGTTTTAATTATAAAAAAATAAAAAATAAAAACACGTTTCTAGTTTCTAAATGAACAAATAAACAAACAAAAAAAGAAAGAAAAAGAGAAGAGAAAGTCCTTTTTCTTTTCCTTCTTGCTTTTAACCTGATTGTAGGAAAATAAACAACGATATTCAATAGTATTGCTATTATCCGTAGTAGTAGTAGTAGTAGTAGTAGTAGTAGTAGTAGTAGTAGTAGTGATAGTAGTAGTAGTAGTAGTAGTAGTAGTAGTAGTAGTAGTAGTAGTAGTAGTAGTAGTAGTAGTAGTAGTAGTAGTAGTAGTAGTAGTAGTAGTAGTAGTAGTAGTAGTAGTAGTAGTAGTAGTAGTAGTAGTAGTAGTAGTAGTAGTAGTAGTAGTAGTAGTAGTAGTAGTAGTAGTAGTAGTAGTAGTAGTAGTAGTAGTAGTAGTAGTAGTAGTAGTAGTAGTAGTAGTAGTAGTAGTAGTAGTAGTAGTAGTAGTAGTAGTAGTAGTAGTAGTAGTAGTAGTAGTAGTAGTAGTAGTAGTGTTAATGAAATGTTTAATTGCCATTTATATCTATAGAAGAATTCAATCAACATCAGTTAGGATACGTAAATTATAATGAATATCTTGATGTTATTGTCTTTAAATGAAATATCATTGAAAGCATTTATATTTTACTGTTGTTTTATCCAGGACCATACAATGATGTCAGTCGAGAATACAGAAGTCTTGAATGCTATTAGAGGTATGAGGGTGGTTATGACTTCCTTATTGCCCACACCGTGGAAGGAGTCTTCCGGAAGTACCTGAAAAGGAGACTGGATTAGAGGTGGTCTTATTAACCTGACAGTGTGCAATGTGACGGATCGATTGAAGTTAGACATTGACGCTGTTGGATGTCGGTTCAGTTGTCTAGAGGTTAATTGATCGTCCAGAACTGGAGGTCCTGGGATCGATTCCTCATTGCAAGGTCGTAAATGTGAACTACTCAATAGTACCGTAGTGGGACGAAATGGTTGTTCAGTGCTTCTTTGTTTTCAACGGTGTTGTAATTGAGATCGGTTCATGATTTCAATGGATTTTCTATAAGGTACAGTGAATAATTGCCCCACAAATGACACGGCTGAACTTCGCTGGCCGTGGCTTTTCACAGAAACTTATTACGGGTCAAAAAGGCTATCCAGGATTCTAATAGTAGTCTTAATTAGACCGGTCCATGATTTCAATGAAATTAAAAAATCTCCACAACTCATCATCACTTTTGATGCATATATCCTCCCAAATGCCGTGGTACGGTCGAGTGTGAGAAGAGTCATATTTTCCTCTCCAAATGCTCTCATATGGTAACGCGTATACAGACACTCCATGGGAAGTCCTGCTCACTGCCTTCTCGCTGCATTACTGTTGTTTGCAAAATTGAGAGGACGAAAAGAGAATGTCCGACGATATAACCGGGTTGATGGATATGGAGCATCCAACTGGGAGATTCGGAAAACCCTGATTCCAAACCAACGATGTACATTAGCTCCAGGATCCTAAGGGGACAAATGGTGTATGAACTAATTATTAGTGACCGGCTACCGTGAGACTGCATCTCCTGACGTTGATCTACTGCATTGTCGACTGGATCTTTAAGTTGAAGACTTCGAATGTGACCCCTTAAGAAAACCACGTGTTTCAGTTTGGGCACCCAAGCAGTATCACAGCCTTCACACAAATCGAATGATTTATATGGCGCATATTTATTCGGTTCCCATTGGTATCAATTTTTATGTGTTCAAATAGAAAAATAATGCTTACATATAATATTCATAACAATAATTAATCACTTGATTAAGTGAATTATCATAGAAATGTGTTCAGTATGTGAAACAGTTTTCATTTCAAATTGATTACTTACTTACTTACTTACTAGATGAAGACCTTTTGACTCCCAGGCAGGAGTTTAAGTGGTTTAGATAATTGTTTTCTGGTTAGCATTTTTTTTAGCAAATTAGTTTTCTACGGTATGGGGTCCTAACCCCATGCTCAACCCTCCCCCTTTATCCGGGCTTGGGACTGGCAGTAACCCCAGAGGGGCTCCGGGTGGAGTTATTTCAAATTGATATCAACTATGAAAACCAATAAAAGTTTAGAAGCGTGGTGCGGGATCGTGGATGCGCACTGCTGAGGAGTCCCATACTAGTGCTTCCAGGTTTTCAATGGTGGTCTAGCTTCAACTGACTCATGATTTAAATCTGTGAAATTTCTAAAATCTCCACAAAACCCATTCTGATATAAATATAAGTTTAGAAACATATCTTATTAAGCATAGATGTATAGTGGCTAGTAGTGAAATGCAGGACGTACATGATGTGCTATTTTGGACTTGTCAATTGAATGCACCTACATCTCAGAGTTGATGTTCAATTTTTGGGATTCGAAACCACTACATTACCGTTCGTTTCCAACTCCATCATGTTATCCACTTAACTACTAAATCCTGATAGCCATTTGTTTGTGCATAGAATACTTGTGAATTAAAGCAATATAATCCTAAATAACAATCAAAAGATTTAAGTAAACACTACTCTTCAATTTATATCCTAATAACAATATCTCATCTAATATCAAGTGTATTATATAACTGTGATTCCTATTTGAATTGACCTCTTGTCTATTTATGTTTACCGCTAGTTATATTCTATTCGATTGATATAGATAAACAAATACCATATGTTATACAGATTAAATTTCTCTCACCTATAAAATATACATACATAATGTAATCATGTACTCAAATGATACATAATCTTACCCTATTGTATAGGTAGTGTTCATTATTCCTCTTTCGTAAAATAGAGATTAAGATAAATTTATATTTATATGTCTTGATTATGTTTAAACTACGGGCATAAGAAGTTGATTTTCTAGTGTTTATTCTTATCATTGAAAGGTTGTAGAGAAGAGGTAGGTTAAATAACACTTTACATTTGGAAATGAAAGCAGATATGGAAACAATTGGAAAAGATTGCCTAGGATACAGTGGAATGGAAAATGCTAATGGGCAACCTATGCTCATTCGAGAGGTGTAACAGCGGTAAGTAAGTATTTTTGTCATGATTTCATTCATTATTAATGTTTTAGTTAATTTTTATCTAGTAGTTGAATTCATGAGTCAATTGAAGCTAGACCACCATAGGAAAACGGCCGTTTCTTCCTAATGTAGAACTCCCCATCAATGCACATCCACGATCCCGCCCCGCGGGACTCGAGCCCAGAACCTATCGGTCACGCGCGCAAGCACTTAACCACTAGACCATGGTGGTCTAGCTTCGACTGACTCATGATATTAACCATTGAAACTAATTATATGTAAACTCGTCATGGATTGACGTTATGCTTGAGTATAATTAGAAACCAGAAAGTATTGAAAACCTGTTTTGTGATAGTTTGAGACTCAGTTTTACACAGACACTACTTTATCAGGAAATGAACCTAACACCTTTATATCTGATGATGAGTGCTTACTGACTGGACCATCAGAATGATATTCAATGATACACTTTTCTAGATTCTATCAACTCTTTATATAACACGGTGATGATTCAGTGGCATTGGTAATTGTTATTTCACTCCGAATATTTCCACACTTTATATGCCACATGAACATCAAGAACTTTTCTCTAAGTCAGTCCCTCCCTTCAGTGGATCTTATGGAAATTAGTTTGGTTTGAAGATGATATCCATCACAGATTGACCTAACTTTGACTGCCACAGTAAATGAAGCTAAAAAAAACTGAATAGCTATGTTAAGGGCTCTTTGAGTGATCCAAAGGTCATTGATTCGATTTCTAGCATGATCGTGGTTGCTCGCCACTCAGGAGTTTGATACTAGTTTTATACTATACATCTATAGTTTCCTTGGGTACCGAAAATCAGATATTGACCTAACATTGAGTACTTTTGAGTGGTTAATTTTTGTGTATGCTTACATTCCTACCAGAACTGCTTAGGACATTAATCTAGATTCTATACGTTAATGCTGATACAACTGGTTGACGAAAAACAGGTTTCCTTTACTGATGAAAGTTTGAGACTTATAGAGTAACCGTTAAATAGCCGTTTTTCCCAAAATTAACGATCAACTTACTTACTTACGCCTGTTACCCCCACCCCTCCCCAATGGATCATAGGCCGTCAACCATCATTCTCCAACCCATTCTATCATGGATCTGCTTTTCTAGTTCTATCTAATTGTCATTCCTTCTACTGATATCTGTCTCCATTTCTCAGCGTAATGTGTTCTTTTGTCTTCCACTTCTCCTTTGACCATGAGGATTTCAAGTGAGTGCTTGCCTTATGACACAGTTCGTTGTTTTCCTTAATGTGTGTTCTATCCACTTATAGCGCTTCTTCCTGATTTCTTTCTCGATTGGAATCTGATTTGTTCTCACCCACAATAGGTTGTTTCTAATAGTGTCCAGCCAACAGATCCGAAGTATATTGCATAGATAACTGTTAATAAACACTTGTATCTGCTAGATAATGACTTTCGCTACCGATTAAACTTCTATATTACTTACTTTAATCTAGGAGTGTAAAACCAATTTTTCATATATATCCTATATAATAGGGTCCCAATTACTACTATGATTATCATCATTAATATTGACAGTATTATATAACATAAGTCACATATGATGAACTAATTTGGAAGGTTTTTGGTGACCTCTGACTCATAGTTTGACCTTTCTAACAGCATTATGTCTGAAAACTATACATATTTACATAGTTTTTGCCCTCCCTCCCTCCGTCCCCCCTCCGTTGACATATTAATCTTTATCTGTTTACATAAAAAAAACTATGTTCATTGATGTGTATGATACCAATGGGAATTGTCTAGAGTAATATAAGATTAGATTAATATATTGTATAATGTATACAGTTATAAAACATTGAAGTATTTCAGTAGTATAATCTAAGTTAAAAAGGAATTATTATCAGAATCGGTTTTGTGTAGATTTTTAGAAATTTCACAAGTTGAAATCATGAGTCAGTTGAAGCTAGACCACCACAGAAAACTTAGAAGCACTGGATGGCCGTTTCGTGCTGGTATGGGACCCCTCAGGAGACACTCCTGGAGTTCTAGTGAAAAGTCGTTACCAGTGGAGTTCAACCAGGTCTGTTGTGAGATAGGAACTCACTGAAGACAATGGTGTACGGTGGCGTAACTTCGTGGATTGGTTGAGGTTAGATATTAACACCGTTGGATGCCGGCTCAGTGGTCTAGTTGGTTAAATGATCGCGCGTGAAACCAGTAGGTCCTGGGTTCGAATGTCTCGGGAGGAAGGATCGTGGATGTGCACTGCTGAGGAGCCCCACAATAGGACGAAACGGCCGTCCGATGCTTCCAGGTTTTTCATGGTCGTGTAGCTTCAATTGACTCATGATTTCAACTTGTAAAAAGGAATTATCCTGAAGGGCAAATATTCGTAATAATAATGAGGTTAGACATTAACACCATTGGGCGCCGGCAAAGTGGTCCAGTAGGTTGAGCGTTCGCGCCCTGGTTCCGAATCCCGCGA